CTCAACCAATGGCATCATTTATTGTTGTTGTATATGTAAAATTGTTTTTAGAACTCTTATTATGTGTTGTTAAGGAATAATTTTTAAAAGAAGGTAGAATCGTGATTCTCATATAGACATAAAATAAACATGTGTCAAAGATTTTTAACTCATTAATTAATGGCGACCAGTAAAATGTTATGATTGGTGTGAAGAAGAATTCAAAGGGCAGTGATGTGAAAAGGGAATAAGAAATTCTGAAATGAATTTACAAATAGACACAAAACTGGCCTGTCAACATCAATGCAAAAATCAGGTGCATTCTAAGGAACACTACTTTGCATTTATATGGACATGAATTATTTGCATTATTATCAGATTTCTACAACTTACAGGTTTGTAATACCAGTTAAAGATGAGAAGACCTACATGAGTGAGTAGTCATGATAGCTGCTATTTGTTTTTTTCCCATTTTGGAGTCTCTCTCAATTTTTTTCTGACAGTCTCCTTTCCTCTTTTTAGCATAATAAATTCAAAGAATGATTATTCTTATAAAATAAGACTGGTGCCATTAGATTTGCCTGGTTGTTTACATAAATGCAGTGAAAGTGTTATTTTACCATATAGGACACCTTAAGTTTCCTTTGTAAACTCTAAAACCATACAACTTTGAACAAATACTAAATTAAATTGTGTCTGGAAATTTTCATAAGGAATCTCAAATTGGGTTTTTAAAACCCTCTATTATTTGTTGACCTGAGGCTAGGAAACCAAGCCCAAGAAATGCTCTCCACCGTATTTCACCTGAAATACCTATAAATTTGGGTAAATTCCTATTTTCTCAAGGTCCCCCAAATATACTAAGGTTACATCTATTTAATATATAATATTCTTAGACTTTCTAAGCCAAGAAGTAGGCCAGGGCTTTGTAGGCATTGCTTCCATAAGTAAAGTCAAACTTAATCCCTGAAGAATGGCTGTTCCTACCTGATTAAGTGAGCATTATTTTCAAATGCGACATTGCAAGCAAAACCTTGGTTTTTCCATTTGTACAATTACACCCTGATTAAAAAAAAAAAAAAATTAACAGCTTCTAATGGAACCTATGCAAATAACTAAATGGTCATGGAAAGTAAGTATAAAGTAGGTGTAAAGTTTCGTTTAATTTTCTCTATACTTAGAATCCAATGGTGGGAAAGCAAAAATTAGAAAAAAAATTGTCAGAGGATATTTGGACATTTATTAAGATAGGATCATATAATACAGAGTTATATATTTAATTAAATAAACATTTAAAATAATAAAACATTTTAAATAAATATGGACATTAAAATGATTGTAAAGACCTTATTTTTTATAAGTGAGGAATTTTTGTTCTTTGCTCTTTTCTTTCTTTTTCTTAATCAAGAATGTAATAAATTCAGTATAAAGCACAGGAAAATATTCTTATAAGATGCAGAATATTTGCTATCTAGAGATTACACAGAAGGTCAAAAAGAAAAAAAAAATCTTTTGTATAGTAGGCAAAGGAATGAACCAGTAAATAAAGAAAGCAAACCCACCAAGATAAGGCAAGCATTACTAAAATTTTAGTACATTTCATCACTTCTTTACAAACTCAAGGACTATAAGCCAAGGCAAGTAAATGTTATCTCCAAATTTTCCCTTTATTTTGATTTTTCTATCAAAGCAATTCTCAGTGTATCCAGTAGTTCAAAATAATTTTTATATTAATATTAAGATGTTATTTCTGTTAACATTTTAATTCACATTCATCGTTGCTCTCATCAAGTGAATCAGTAAGTATTTTAAAATTTCTCAATTTCAGCTTCCAATATGTTGGTTATAACCCACATAAAAGTTCTTTGGAATCCCCAGTAAGTCTCAAGATTGTATAGGGGTTCTGAAAAGGAGCAAAAGAAAAAAAATAAGGCCTGAAAAACACTACTGTATATATTTATACAGTGTATAAGTATATATAAAACCACTACTTTAAAACCTCCTCTATAAGACAAAACTACTTTCTCTTTGGAATACAAAAGCCCATAGACAGTGGTATTAGTCTGTCCCTATTACTTAGTGTAAACTCAATCATTCATATTAATTGAAACTTTTAACCAAAGTAACTTCTATTTCTTCTGTTGTTATTCCTATCAGCTTTATTTGTTGGGTTTTTTTTTTTTGAAAGGAAATAATAAAATTATGTATTTGTCAATGGCAATATTGTGTGTGTAGAACATCTTTTTTTTAATTTAAATTCAAGTTAGTTAATATATAGTGTAAAGTAACTTCTATTTCATAGAGAAAACTAGAGGTAGAAAATTAACAATGGTCTCTCTTCCAAAAGCATTTTAACAGAAAGCCAAGTTTATGTTGCAACTTTTTTCAGCCACATACATACCTTTTTATTTTTTATTTTTATTTTTTTATTTTTTTTAATTTTTTTTTCAGCGTTTATTCATTTTTGGGACAGAGAGAGACAGAGCATGAACGGGGGAGGGGCAGAGAGAGAGGGAGACCCAGAATCGGAAACAGGCTCCAGGCTCTGAGCCATCAGCCCAGAGCCTGACGCGGGGCTCGAACTCCCGGACCGCAAGATCGTGACCTGGCTGAAGTCGGACGCTTAACCGACTGCGCCACCCAGGCGCCCCCATACATACCTTTTTAAAGAGACAAAATGGGAATGTTTCATGATATATAAGCAAAAGTATATAAATTTAAAATGATGCCTAATAATTAGGCATTAAATGATCAGTATTCTATCTTAGAAATTATCTAGATATCAAATGAATATTCATTATATAATTGAACTTAATAGCAGGCCAAGGTTTTATGTTACCTATAAAGATCTTGGGAATTAATTTCTAGCTGACATACTAAAAATAAAACCTAATTACCATTGAAATAAAGTTATCAGAATAATGATTTGATTTTGTTGAATACAAATTTACATTTTTCATTATCTTAAATATTGTGTAGGAATAATGTTAGCTTATTTGATCAGTATACCTGAATAAATTTAAGAAAAGCAAACCCAAGCAGAATAGAATATAAGCTTATATTACACCCAACACTGATAAATCAGACTACAAGATTTTTTTTATACCAAAATCATTAGACTCGTCTAATTTGCCAAAAATTTACCTTAACTGCATGAACTTAAATGTCTGAAATATTTCTGAGTTTCTATAAGAATAACCTTTTACATATAGCATATATCAAGTATCAAAACTTTGATTTCCTCATTTTCCTGGAATTTTAACATTAGCCACAGGCCAAAAGTAAACAAAAAAATTATCAGTCCATATATCAAAAAGTTGTTTCCTTTCCTGATAAACACCAGATTCTTAATTTGAGCTCAAAATACACAAGTAGACAAATAAAATAAAATACTAATAAATCAGATTCTCTGTTGTCTTACATCCAAGAAAGAATAAATCTCTATAATCTATTACTCCATTTACAGAGATCACAAAATTTTGGCCACAAATCCCAATTCTGAATCACTACTGTCACCAGTAGGAAATAATTTATTGATTGTAAAAGTTCCAAAAATAAAAACAAAACACAAAAGTAGTAAAATGGAAAATATGTAAAGAAATAGAGGATCAGCAAAGTGAAAGTTCTGTTACAACAGAGAATTTACCTCTTGGAGCCAAGAAATGCCCTGACTTATGTCATGCATGAGGTACAGCACTCCTCCAACAATACAGGTTCCTCAGCCATCAGGTGAATCCACTGGGCATTGTAGTTTCCGAAATAATTTTTCTTAAAAGGATATAACTCTCATATAAAAATGATATGACTCTCATACAGATATGAAATGAATGTGCCAACTATTTTATTTAATTTACTAATTCCAGAGGGAACCAGTAGGAAGTTGCAAGCAATTCAGAGGAGAATTCTAAGAGCAAAACATATATAGGGAATAAGAAAAACTGAAGTTAATTTACAAATAGATGCAAAATAGGACTCAATGCAGGAAACTACTTAATTGAATTCTACTGGGTACAATTAATTTGCATCTTTTTAGACAAGAATATTTTGCATTATATCAAGTTTTCCACATCTTAAAGAGTTGTAAAATAACACAAAAAATAATGAAAGGCAGAAAAAACTTGGCTGGGTGAGTTACTCAGGACACCCACTATTTTTATTTGCCCATTTCAGTCTTTACAGTTTTGCTGACTCTACTTAATAAGAGATGGGTCCAATATATTTTTTCTCTAGCATGAGAAATTAGTACCACAAGAACAAGGCAGGACCAAAACTTTCCTCCAGTCCCACATCTAAATGTCTTATCTCTTCCTATAAGAAGAAAGAGCAAGTAACTTCATTCTTTTGTGCATTGAATAATATTTTCTAATTGTAGATATTACCAACTCTTTCAGAATCTCTCTCTTCTCTCTTATCAATACCACATTAGTGAATACTCGTTCCCACAGGAGCCCTGTAGAAGCCTGACTATCAGACTATCCTGAATAAGGTAAAAGGAGCAAATCTTTTTTCACAGATTATAATTTGAAGGTGGGGAAAAGCAGTTCAGATAGTTTTTAAAACAGAGCAGAAGCTTTTCATTAAACCCACTATGGTCAGGTACTTCCACTAGTCTGAATCAATTCCAAACTTGAGTTCATTTTTTATTGGATAATCTTTGAAATTAGGATAGGATTCTTTTAGCTTTATTAACTTGTGATCACATGCATTTACAAAGTCCTTCACTGGAAATTCTACAGAGTTAGTGACCCTTGGGGTTTAGTAGAGTCTAGACAAGTATGAGCCTTGGAGACTGTTTTGACCCTAGATATTTTCAGCAATGTCACAGCCCAGGGACTCAAAGCTTCTGATTGGAATTATCACTACTCTCAAGAAAAAGAATCTGAGAGGAAACACAAAAATGTCTCCATGGCCATAGGACTTTTTGTTGTGTTTACTATAACATTGAAGCAAGAAGAAAATTCATTTAATGCCCATCATCTGTATGGACTGGACTGATTGACAATATGATTTATATATTTTAGGTTCCCCCAGGTGACAACTCTACTAGAATCCCTATCCAGACAGACCTCTACATTCAAGCTGTCATTTTTGACCACATTTCCAGAAGAAAGACTTAACTACCAGCATGCTAGATGGCCCCCCTAATGGGCTTGCTAAATTTAAATGAATGCTGTAACCAGAAGCAAATTAGAATAATAAATGAGCTCTGTAGCTGGAAGGCAAATTAGAATAATAAAAGTTGATAAAGAAATTAGAAAGAAAACCATAATCTTGACTATCTTTGTGTGGTATAGATATTAATCCCATTTGAGTTTTTTTTTTTTTAATTTTTTACCCTAAATACTGAAGCTGACTGCAACAGTTCATGGGAGAGAATCTTCTTGCTACTTTAAAGATATAGTAATTAGTGACTATATTGTAACTCAGATCTTCCAAAACAAAAATGTTCCAGGTCCTACTGTTGCCAAATATAGTGGACCAAAACTCATACCATGTGGCAGTGCTGTCTACTAAATTTGTTGAATATCGATAAAAGGTCTGAAATTGAAGAACAAGAGTAAAAAATATATAAATACAAAGTTTTCAATAGACCTAAAGGAGTAAATAAATTCTGAAATGTCCCATGACATGATGTATAAAATGAATGAAGTGTTTGATATGTTTGTGTGCCTGGACAATATGAACCCCATGACAATGAAATCTAAGAGAAACTGAAAGATTTTAGAGAAGTGAGGACTTCATTAGAGAAAAGCATGCTTTCCTAATGTGCCCTTGCAGGTGGCTTTTGTGCAGAAAAGATATTATTCAGAGGTCACTTGTGGTTTAACAATTAATATTAGTTTCTTCCTCTTCTTTCTATTCTCTTCCCATTCTAAACAACCTAGTACTAAGGCAATCAGCTGGGCCAAGCAAGGTAGAAATCTGCTCACTATGTGGGAATGGGAAAGCCCAGAGCAGAGTGTCAGAGTTCCAATGGGGTGGAGCAAGGTGTATTCAGCAGGAAACTGATGGCCCGACATGAGATGGTAGATCCACTCAGAATGAGTAGAGTCGTGTTAAATTGGAATGGGATATTTTGGTGTGATCTTATCATTTTCAATATATACAACAGATACAGAATGTATGTTAATGTATGTACATATACATCTTCCCTCACTCAGTTCAAAGAGAGGGCCTCAAAGCAACAACACCCTATATGGATGAGCACATATACCACCCAGATCTTAGTTTGTCACCACCATTTTCTACCAAAAGGAAATAGCGATCCTTGGGAAAATGTCCTGGGCTGAGACAGGGAAAATACAAAGGCTAGAATATTTTTTTTTGTACCAGAAATCAAAGAAGTTCTTGAAAAATGAAGGGGATTTGTCAAAAGAATAATGGATCCACCTTGGAAACGTTCCCATTGGCCAAACCTGAGAAAGGTTGGGCATCAAAATAATGAAAGCAACAGAAAGCAGGAAATTATGAGGCCATAAGGATCCACAGAAAGGAATAAAAGCAAAGTTTGATGAAGAACAGGATATTTACATAGTATCTCCCACAAAACATGTATTAGTTATAGAGGGAATGATGGAAAAACCTGGAAGACACCACTTTCAAAAAGTGATCAAAGAGAATGTGTTTAGTAATGAGGCAAACTGAATTTGTTCCCCACCAAGTAATATGAACACAGGAACTCCTCATCACTTTTGTAATAATCCTGCCAAATTTACATAACCTGAATATAACCAAGAGAAAACTCAGGAAAAAAAAATCTGTGGACATTATGCAAAATAACTGGCCTGAGATCTTCAAGGAGTCAAGTTCTTGAAAACAGAAGACTGAGAAACTGTCTCAGATTGAAGGAAACTAGAGACACGTGATCATCAAATGCAACCCATGATTCTGAATTACATTCTTATCCTATAAAGGGGATTTGGGGACAATTGGTGAAATTAGAATTTTTCTGAAGATGAGTAATGTAAAATGTAGTAACGTAAAATGTCTATGTCCTACTTTTGATGATTATGTTGTGGTTATATGAGAAAATATCCTTGATTTTGGAAAATTACACTAAAGCATTTGGGAGTCAACAGGCATCATGTCAGCAAATTATTTATAAATATTTCGGGGGGAAAAGGTCTTTGTGCTATACTATTTCTGTAATTCTGAGATTATTTTGAAATAAAGTAAGTATTTGATTTATTACATTTATAAATTCAAAACTCTAGTTACTTATATTCTAAGTATTTGCATAAATTTTATTGTTCTATCTATAGACAGTGAAATTTTTTACTGTCATTTTATGAGTTCTTTTATAGTTTAATTAAATTTCTTTAAATATTTTAAATGTTATTTGTGATCTCCATTACATTCAATTTTCTAATTATTTCAAAATTTAACTAGCAAATAAGCCTTCATATACATATACATAACTCTTGTAAGTTTAATAATTTAAATGTATAAATATAAAGACTCATGTTCTCTTAAAAGTTTCAGTATGGTTTGTAAATTTATAAAACTTAATTGAAATCATGTCTAAATTAATTATTCAAATATCACAATTTAAATTGGAGAGTATATGCCAGTGTTTCATAAATGTTTTAACTATTTTAAATATTTTTAAGTATGGGTATTTATAAAATATTTAAAATACTTAATATATTTACAGACTATTCCTATCATTAATCCCAAGGTCTAAGACTCTAAAAAATCAATTATTTCATCACAAATAATTTTTTACATTAGCTTCTGAACTGAATTTACTTCTAGTAAGTACTGCATGGAGATTTGAGTTGGATTACGGGATGTGTTCATTTGCTAGGGCTGCCTTAACAAAATACCAGAGATTGGGTGGTTGAAACAACATAAATTTATTTTCTTAAATTTCCAGAGACTGGAACCAAGATTAAGGTGTCAGCAGGTTTGATTTATGCTGGGGCCTCTCTCTCTACTTGCAGATGGCATCTTTCTTGCTATTTCTTCTCATGGTCTCATCTGTGTAGGTATCTCTGGTGTCTGTTCACATAGCAAAATTTCGTCTTATGAGAACACTAGATTGGATTAGAGTCCACCCTAATGACCCCATCTTAATTTGTCTCTTTCAAAGGCTGTCTCAAAGTACAGTCACATTCTGAGGGACTGGGGGATAAGACCTCAACCATGAATTCTGTAGGGATACGATTCACCCCTTACCTTGGGATGTAGACCAAAAATATCCAGGATATTTTTCTCATGATTAGACCCTTTCAGCCAATGCTAAGCCACGTCTAGACCTCTGAGGGTTCCAATGTCATGCCTTTCAAATGTGGGTTGCCTTGCTGTATAAGAGCCTTGGATTCACATATTGTTGTACCTGATTTTACAGTCTGCTTTGAGTTTGTAGCATCCACCCAGGTCAACTGAAATTCAGTGAATCTATGTAAGGTTTCATTGTGTTTTTGCATTGTTTTCATATTTCTATCTGCAGAGTCACAACACCTATAAATATTTAAGTGGCATCTGACTGTATCCAGTATATTTCTCATGTCTTATTTTGCTCTGAGGTCACAGTTCTGACGTCAAACTAATGCAATTATTGGAGACTAGAAATTCCCTTCATGGAAGCTCATTAAGGTGACTTAAACCCAGTAAAGAATAGAGAGCAATTAGAGAACTGTTATGTTTGAGTACAGGATACACTAAGAAAGTAATTTAACCTGATACTAACAGTGAAATGCAGGGCCAAAGAAAGGGAATATGTGAAATGTATGTGAGAATCAGCAGAAGAGCAGTGCGCCAAAGACACAGGACCAAAGAATGAGCAAGCCGACCAAAAGGAAATGAAACAAGAAATTGAGCAATGCAATAAAAAGCAAAGAGCATTAAGAACCAGACTATTTGGCAAACTGATGATGGTAATTGGCCAAATCACTTTATCTCTCCAGATTCTGGCTCTTGAAGGTCTCTTCAAAATCCAAAACATCTATGATTTCCCTCGCTGTTTTTCTAATCTATTTATAGACTCCCTCAGCTGAATAGAATAGCTTTGTAAGTTAAGTGTAATTTTCTCCAAATGACAGTTTAAGTGTATTATCCAAGACTCTGCTTGCAAGTGACAGAAATCCAATTTGAGTCGTTATTATAAAAACATGGAGGTGTCTCCCAGAGCTAAAGAAAGGAATATGTCTGAATCCTAGGAAAAATCATATAATCATAATCAAAGTTGAACACTATGGGAACTACTGCTCTATCTCATTATTGTGTTCCTCAGTGCATCATTTTTCTCTTCCAACAGAACTGCCTTTCAACAGACACACAACTTCCTTCCTTCCATCTTTCCTTCCCTTCCCTTCCCTTCCCTTCCCTTCCCTTCCCTTCCCTTCCCTTCCCTTCTCCCCTCTCCTCTCCTCTCCTCTCCTCTCCTCTCCTCTCCTCTCCTCTCCTCTCTTCTCCTTCCTCGCTCCTTTCCTTCATTTGTCTCCCTCTTTTCCTCCCTGTCTCCTTCTCTCCCTCCCTCATCCCTTCCCTCCCTTCTCCTCTCTCTTTTCCTCAAGTCCAGAATCCCAGAGAAGGGACACTTGACCCAGCTTTACTCAGGAGCCCAGCCCCTATTAAAATTTAAAATCTAAAATGGTCAGACTGTACAGAATATATTCCCCACAATTACAGCCACTATGTAACCTTGTGAATGAATGAGAATCTTCAGAAAAGCAGGTAATTCTGGGACACAGCAATCCATCCAGTTGAATGGAGCAGAGAGTGTGGGAGAGAGGAAAGGGAGAAGTCTGGGATGCTCAGGTACTCAATCATAGAGCAGCAATTCATTTCTCCCCTTTTCACTGGTGGTGACAACAGAAGACAAAGCAGCAGTAGCAATAGGATGAATATTCTCTGTATGCTTCCTGTTTTATAACACAATTGTCTGGGATAAACAATTACATAATCAAAGCTACCTGATATATGACCGACTTCTTCAATGTTTTTGTAGCTCCCAGAATAATATGCTTTCAACCACAGATAGTAACCATAAACTTTCTTAATCTCAAGGAAATTAAAAAGAAATATATACTCACTTATTTATGAAGGACCAAGTGCGGCCCAGATACATTTCTAGGGGCATAACAACAAATAAGTGCTTCCCTCAAGAAATCCATTAGTTTGGAATAAAAAGGAATCTGAGGGATCTTATGATTTTATTGTTCCTGTTGCAGCTGCTATTGTGAATGGATTTTCCCCTCAGCTACCAATAGATTGTTGTAGATGCTACATGAATTGGCCAAGACTTTCTGGAATCATACTGTCATG